TGTTGCTGCTACTGTCGATGTTTTGATGACGTTCACAAATGCCCAACATCAGATCAACCCCCAACAAACGTACACACATCGGAAAACCTATCTGTAAAGTGCATTCGTTTTAATAATTTCATTCTTTACAGATATACTAAAGATCCGCTCCGATACTCTTTTTTTTCGAAATAGCAATGATTCAAAGTTTCAGTAAACAAACAAACGAACAAAAAGTAACCTTTTCAACAGATGAAATGCGAAATGTTTGCGGTGTGTTCATTGGTGTGAAATCACTGTAAGTATTATGTCCACAAAAATACACTGTTGGTGTCGCATCGATACCACTCACAATCAGGGCCGTTTGCGACACTGAGGCACTCACGTCCAGAACTGATGATTGAGAACCAACCTTGAATTGATGTTCGTGAATTGGAAACGATTCAACCAAAAATGACAATTTGCTACTAGTAAAATATGACAAATAAAAACTATAGCACAACAATAACAATGGTGAAAACAACAATAATAACTCAATGGTTTTCGTCTTAATACAAAAGTCTACGGTGGTCAGACTCATTCTCTAATTATAGATTCATCAACTGATCTAAACATAATAGCATAGGTCAGGTCAGTAAAAACGGCTTAATCATTATACGCATATTTATACCGAAATCGCTGCAAAAGTTTAGTTACAAGAATTGACAAAACTGAACGAAATTTACGTTTTTTTAAAACTTTAATACAGTTAGGAATTTTTTTTAAAACTCTAATAACTCCTACTTTGAATAATGTTGGTATGGTAATGTACGGTTGATCAGATTGCTTCAGCTGTCCGCATTTGTTCGAACCCCAAACGTACAGTTCACCTGTACCCGTAAGCGCTACACTGTGGTAGTCACCAGACGAGATTTTTATACAGCAAATACCCGACAACGCGGCGATTTTGAACGGTTCACGCCTAAAGCTGATTTCTTTGAATCACGGGAAGAAAACTAGTGTCAGATGTCGACATCTTTTACATATTCTGCGTGTTATCTCGGATTCTGCTGGAATATATTCACTATGGATTCGCTCGATCTCGCACTTCGTCGAACTAATGGTAGCTTTCGATTGAGTGGGGTTCTAATTCGTGTGATTCGCGATATGAAGTTAATATTTCAGATGTGCATAGTTCAGAAGTTAATGCCTTCGATTCTAAATTTAGAAGGCAAGAATCAACGAACCTAGGTAACATCCGAAACGTAAATATCCACGAATTAATGACGGGTGAGTGATCGATTTCGTAAAATGCAGTCAATACAAAGTGGAAATGCGATCGATCAGTTTCAGCAATCAAACCTTGCAATTTGATCGTTATGTCCCAGTTGCCCAACGTTATTCTCTCCCCATGTCCACACCTCCAATGGAAAACGTCGCTCGTCTCGGTGCGTTGACGACGCATTCGTTGCAGTTTTACGAGGTGTAGACGTAGCACTTCGATGCGATGAATTACTGGCGATCGTTGTGTTCGTCTGATCTGTATTCGATGTGTTCGATGAGCTCTCTGAAATGGAACACTCGCAAATGCATTGAACGTTATCAAACAAAGAAGTTTATGCACACATCACTGAGTGTTTGCTGATGATTCGTCAGCATCGCTATAGTCTTGTACAGAAGAAATGAATGAGTATATGTAAAGCACTCGAGCAGTTGCAGAGTGGTACCCAAGAGGAATAAAAAGACCACTCGGGAGANCTCGGGAGATCTCCAATAAGATGGAAAGACGATATTACAAAGAAATTGGGTAACACCTGGCAAAGGAAAGCAAGATCAAGGACCGAATGGAAATGCATTGTGGCCAGCAACGTTACAAACGTTTGATAGACTGGCCAATCCAGGTAATATGTAAAGCAACCCCTTAACAACCATACTGAACTAATATTCCAGACGTGCACAATTCAGACATTAATAGCTTCGACTCTAAATATACTAATATTGAGATGTTTACTTCATAATATGTTTGATCTATCATCAAAAATGGATACATCAAGTCAACTTTCAGTGGCATAGCCAGGCCAATTCTTCTCCTTGAATAATCCACTGCTAATTTCGCATACACGCATATTATGCTAATATCAATTCGTGTGCGAATTTCAGTATTTCACTCAACTAACAAATGAATTCTCACTTCAAGTAATATTCTCAACGACATAACACATTTATCGCATACGTACATCAAGAAACTCAGTGAATATTTCAAAACTGCTAAGCAAATCAAAACGAATGAATTACTGAAATGAATGCACAAAGAGCAATACCATTTTCATCAGAGTCCATATAGGTGAGTGGAAGGTTATCGAGTGAAACGAATGTGAATCGCCCTCCCGGTAGATTCATCAGATCAAGTCCAATTGTGGACGGTCCAATTGTTGACATTTCAATTGCACCGTCAGCTGTTGATTGGTTATTGGATGTCAGATGCGCTCTCCTTGAGAATGACGACCGAAAATAAGATGGTTCACTTTGGAGCGGGAGTGTTCTGGCACGAGGTGAACTGCTGCTGCTGCAATTTACAGTTCCTACTTAAAGCACCAGTCCGCACTTGAATGATGCTTTAAAATGTCTATCCATATTGAAAGAATAATATTAATTCATAGTTTCATCGATAAAAACCAAACAACTGCTTGATNTTAAAGCATCAGTCCGCACTTGAATCATGCATAAAAGTATCAATCCATATTGAAAGAATAATATTAATTCATAGTTTCATCGATAAAAACCAAACAACTGCTTGATAGCAAAACATTTATGCTGCTGAGATCTTCTTGATCTTTCGTTCATTTTCACAGAACTTGAAACTGCAAATCGACTGACAGTGAAATGAATGAATCGAGAAAATGATAATGAAAAATGAAAACGATAAAAATTCTAACCTTGGTGAAGAATCTCCTTGAAGAAGTAATCGAAAATTTCTTGCTGCTGTCATAAGCTTCTCAGAGGTCTCATCGTCATGCCGTACCATTTCCTCTAATTCATGACTCTCTTCAGCGTCCTGAAATAAACACCTTCAGTACTCATACAAATGAATGAATCATGAGAATAATTAATATAAACAGAACAACCAATAAAAACTTTGTAACGAAATGACATGAAATTGAAATTATTCAACAAATATTCGCTGAATATTTCACCGATGATGAAACAAATAAAGAATTGAAAACAAATCGACAAGTGAACAAAAGAATGAGAAAACAACCCAACCGAAAAAAACAACCCACATCATCTGCTCTCTGCATTAGTGTACTTAAGCGACATTCGTTTTCTTCACGACATCTCGCGCAGTGTTCCGATGGAAGAATGTGACTTCGAACAAACTGCGCGTCTGAAGCGAACTCGGTGGCTCTTTCCGTATCATCCACACAATACGCTACCAAACAAACGAAATGTGAACTGCAATGTTGACACGAAATAAATTATGCAAAGAACTTAAAAATTAAACGATTGATTTTGCATTATCACACCGAATAAATCCAAACTCAGCAATTCAGTTGAGCAATTCATTTTGAATAATCCACAAGAAACTCAGTATTACTATATCAAATCTTCAAACATATTCAATAAGAAAAGACTACAATTTAAAAAATCTATTACTCTACCATACAATCAGTTCATTGAAACTATCCACGTTAACCTTCTGTGCGTAAATATACACTTCAAAATAATATATAAAAACCGTTTGACAATGGCAAACTATAGTCAATTTGTATTCTGGATGAATGTTCAGTAATCTACCGTCCAGCTTCCAGTTGTACGACTCGTCGACTCTGTGAGAGCGGTAACATCCTCGCTTCGATACACCCGTTCGAGTCAATTTTCAACGAACGATCACCATAACTCCACAAATGTCCTTCGTCATCCATCACGCACACCTGACGTTCTGATGCAGCCACTTGACGAACACAAATTGCCCTAAATTTTGTGCTTTGCTTCAAATCAGTATCAATGAACTTCGACTAGACAACATGTCTTAATTATCATTATAATCAAAATTATTACATTCAGTGTCACATACAATTAATATTTATATTAATTAATGTCTTAATGTTATTCTAACAGGATTGTAATTGATATTGCTATTACTGTTTATCATTATTATTATTAATGTCATTATCATCATTCCTGTACATCTATGACTGGCATTGTTCTAGCTGTTGTTCTCATAATGATATCCAGATATCGTTAGGTACTACTGAGGATCCAATCGGCTCAGGTTGTTGTCGTTGTGATTATTCGTAATAATTCATTAAGTTTACTTACTCGTTTGAAGTAACCGTAATTCCATGCGGACATATGGCCAATGGTGCGACCAATTTGATTTCTCTGAATTGCTCAATTTCTTCCGTTTGTATCACACCACATTGTCCAAAGTTGGTTTTGCCGCGTGCAAATAATCGACCATCTTCACTGATCACGAATAAACTCTCAGCAGATGCATAAATATATGAGATCGTTGTGTGGAACAATTCCGAATCCTCACTCAGATAGCATTCTGTTCGTCCATTGGGCAATAGCTTCAACTGAAAGCTGCTCTCGTTCATTGCACTCAAATCATTTGTTTAGTGATTCGAAAATTTTTTGGAAATCTATTTGGTTTTTCCTACACCACTGCAAAGGTTTTCGCCATCAAAAAGCGAAATAGCTGATTAAGTTTTAACATTAAAAACCTTGAGATACTGAAAAAATTTAGAACCAAGGAAATGAAACTAATAAATAAAATAAAATGTTGAATTCTAATAATTGAAGCAACGGGCGTTTCCTTCTCAACTTGATCGACACTACCACTCGGTTCAGTCTTCATCTGAAAGCATA